TCTGTATCTTTAAAATTTACACTTAATCTATTAATAAAGTTTATTGGAGCAAGACTCTGTTGGATATAAAAAAAAAAGATTTAATTATCATTAAAATATATAAACTATTTAAATAATGAGATTATATTATATAATTGAGCTGTTTGAAATTTGTTTTTAATATTTATAATCTACAATAGAAAATTTTTTATTAGTTGTTTTAATGGAGTTTTCATAACAAGTACTATATCTAGGATCATGATCACACGAACACACTTTATCTTGAATAAAATTAAAAACATTTGATCTCATCATAAATTTCCATTACCAAAATTTAAACCATAAATATTTTGATCATTAGGATAATATAGAGCTTTCCAACTATCTATAACTTGGTTGAGAATTGAATTTTTAATTTTATCACCATTTTTCAACAAAAAAATGAAACTATCATTTGTTTTTATATAAAGACACCTTATTGAATTATCTCAAACTAAAGGATTATAACCACCAACTATTTCATCAGTTTCAGCAATCATTGTAACCACAATTGTACTAGCATGTCCATTACTCGTGTTCCAAAATTTCTTGGGATGAAAACTATCCATACTTCCTTGAAGAATTAATTGAAATTCATAAGACATATTAATTAAAGAATAAGTTGTTGATATACGTGTTGCCCAAATTCCAAATCATTTGGGATTTGGGATGCCAAAATCCCAAATTACTAGTATTTGGGATTTGGGATTTGGGATTTCGGCAAAAAATACTAATCATAATTTGGGATTTGAAATTTGGGATTTCGGCATTTGGGATTTCGGCATTTGGATTTTGAATTTGGGTGGCAGGTATAGTTGTTGATTTTTGATCATCCATGATGGAAGTTTCGCAACATGTATTTTGTTGATTATTGCTGAGAACGGTTCATTTATTTTTGATGGTAATTCAGATAAATGGTTGTTGAATGTAATTCAAGTGCAGAAATGGTTCTTGAAGATAATTCAAAGGTTCTGGGAGATAATTCATGATTCTTGCTGGTAAAATAAATAATTTAACAGATTTATTTCAAGACATATGACATTTGATCATGTCATCCCAAAGCTGTTTTTCAAGGATAATTTCGTAGGGCTTCACTTTCTTCCAAATATCATGACTGAAAATATGAAAATATAGGATAAGTGTAAACATTGTTGTAGTGTTATTTTTAAAGCCTTGAAATTTTCATTCAACCATTTTTCCGAATTATTAGGTAAGGTACGATTTTTGCAACTCCCCATTTGATAACATAATCCAAACTTTAATTCCTTCAACTTGCAAATCATCTTATTTCGAAATGGAAATCAATGCTGCTTCCTGGAGCGATGCAAAATCTTCTGATTCAAAATCAAATCTGATGTTTTGCAATAATATCATTATAAAATTTTTTCAAACCTCTAAATCCATTTTCATCAAAGATTGAATGACAAATAAAAGATAAATGAGTCTTAACAAAGAAGCTTTAGATTCGATAAGATAACTTTCTAATCTTACTGATAGTTCTTCAAACTTCAATTCATTAGCATTAATCATTAATTCATAAATGGTTTCCATGTTTTCAATATTGATAGTTCCACCATAGATATATTTATTAAATTAATTTTAATTATGAGTCACAATATATTTAATATATTTAATTTAATATTTAAAGTAAAACCAATTTTTTTAGCTTACTTAAGAATAATTTTGAATATTTGAGCGGAAAAATTTAGTTTAATAATAGTTTTAAAATTATTTTTATTCGTAGTAGTATTCTCTAATTCTTTATTAATATAAGATAACTAAATATGTAGCAAAGATTTTTTATTTCTATCTTTATCAACTTCGATAACAACAATATGTTCTTCTTTCTCATTAAGAAGTTTTGAAAAATCTTAAGATAATTTATCAAAAATTTAAAAGACGTTTTTAATTTTTTTAAAAATTTACTGAACTTACTGTACAAATAGACTTCCCCGTTATACAATTTCTTGTACAATTTCTTGTATAATCTATTGTCTCGTTGCAATGGCTTATTAACCTGTGATTTGTCAGACATGTTTGATTCAGGACATTCACATGAATTTATTAGCATATAACCTGTCTGCACATTCTAATAGTATTTGAATTTAAACTGCATTTCCTTTGTGTTACTAAATCTGTACCTTCTGAGAATATTTGTTCAACAGGAACACTAGTTCCTATTCAAAATAAAATAAAAATATGCATTTAAAAAAATAATTAAAAATAAAGAAATATTATTTATATAATATTAAAAATTATACCTTGAATTGAAAGATAATCATGAGCCATTTTAGCAAGGTTAGGAAATTTTAATTTATGTAACTATAAATAAAATAAAATATATATTACAGTACATATATCAATATTTAACATTAATTTATTACAATTTTAATATTATATCTTCCAGTATGATAATGAAACTATATCTAAATCAGATGCAGGTTCTTTCAAATAAGATTCTAATTCATCTTTATATACTACTTTTCACTTTTTGAAAATATGATTAGTTAATGCTGTTTATTTTAAAATTGATATATTTGATTCTTGATTTTCATTAGGTTTGTATTTTCTTTTCCATAAATCAGTAATTTGTTGTTTACATGTTTTAATATAATTAGAATCAAAATTATTTTCTTTAAAATAAGACAGTTTCAAATAAGGGTCCAAAACTATTTAATATAAAACAAAGTATTAATAATTAAAATTTAAATTTAAATATATATGAAAATATAAATAGATATCATACTTGTTGTAACAATATAAACTAAACCATCAGAAGTTGGATAATAGTCATCAAGTTTTTGTATTGAAAGATTTATAGCATCATTTATATCAGTTGAAAGTTTATTTTTTTGTTGAAATTCTTTAATATTATCAATTAAATAGTTGTAAACTGGAACAGTTTGACCTAGAGTAGAAAATTTTGATATACTTATTTTCAAAGTAGCATTTTTAAAACACTATAATAAATTATAATTAATATATTTTATTAAAAAATATTTAATTTTAACATTAATTATACCTTTAACAAGTCATTTATATTGTTTAATTTATTCCATTCTTCCTCTTGTAACAAATATACTAAAAGGTTATTATTAGCAGATGCCATATTATGAAGTAGCTAATAAAAAAATATATTTAGATATTAATAAAATTAATATAATTAATATAAATCCTTTTTACCTCACAAAGAAATATTGCTCTTTTGATCATGTCATATGTGAAATTCCATCTTGTCTTTATATCAGAAATTAATTGAAGTTCCTTTACATTAACAGCTTTGCATTGTTGACAAAATTGTTCATGTCATAATGGAGAGGTTCTAATTTTAACTACCTATTTTCTTAATTTTCAATAACTCCTAAAGAAGTTTCATTAATAGACTCGAGTAATATATCTTGTTCATTTTCTGGTCCCAATCCTTGTAATGCTATTAGAGTGATTTGAGCAGCAAGGTTAATAATATGTACACCGGCCTGCCAAAAGTATCCGGACAGCTGTTTTTTTTCAAATTTTTTAAAAAATTTCAAGGATAAATTCTGGCATAACGAATAATTTAAATTGCACAACTTTTTTTTAAAAGAATCCCCAGATCAAGGGCTATCGTATGATATCTTATTTATTCAAATTGGATGCCTGCTCATTTTAAAATATTGTCTTAAAT